TTCAGCAGGCTGTGGTGCCATACAGTACGCCAGGGGTGCCCAACTTTTTTGAGCCTGTGGGCACATTTGGCATTCCGACACGGCATGGTGGGCTCCTGCAGGAGGCGGAGCCAGCCACAAAATGTTTGCCACAGCTTAACTTCAGTCACACAGTACAGCTCCTTGTGCTGTGGTGGTGGGGGAGGGCGGGGGATAAGTCGAATAAATAAATACCGGTAATCTGCAAGGGCTCTGAGCAGAGGAGGTTGAGGGGGGACATGGCTGCTCTCTTGAAGTCCTGGAAGGGCTGTCCCTTAAGGGAGGGCAGGGAGCCGTTCCTGTGGGTGGGCAGCAGAGGAGAGGACTCGCAAGAATGGGTTCAAATTAAGGGCAGGAAGGGACCGGCTGGATATTAGGAAAAACTTGTTGACAGTAAGGCTTGCTCAGCAGTGGAATCAGCTGCCTCAGGAGGTGGTGAGCTCCCTCTCACTGGCTGTCTATGAAATGACCCCCTGGAGTCCACCGCTTTTGGTGGTTCAGTGGTAGAATTCTCGCCTGCCTACAACAAGAGTGTTCCCTTAACTGGCACGAAAGGAGCTCTAAGACGAGGTAACCTTCCCCTGTGAAAATGCATTTCATCACAATGCCACACCAGCTAACAGGACTGTGTATGGTAGTTCACTGACCCCAGTGTCGTGCCCATGGGAACCATAGCACCCACCAACGGGTTTTCTGGCTCACACCTGATACTTCATTAAAACGTCTCCTCCCTAAAGCAAAGAGCCGGTCCTGGATTTCCACATCTTTGGAGCATAGGGTTGTCTTGGGAAATACCTGGAGATCTGCAGGGATGGAGCCTGAAGGCAGAGGAGTTTGGAGAGGGGAGGGACTTTGATGGGATACAATGCCATAGAGTCCACCTTCCAAAGTGGACATTTTCTCCAGGTGAATTAATCTCTGTTGCCTGGAGATCAGTTGGAATCCCAGATTTCCAGCCACCACCTGGAAGTTGGAAACCCTATATGGAGCAGGAGGTGCTTCAAAAGAACCCAGAAGGCACTGCACTTTGGGTCTGTAGGGAACACCCATCCGGAAACAGCTGCCTCCCTTGCAGGCAGAGGTGAGACTTGCATCCTCCCAATGTTTTGTATTGGCCACACACTCCAGGGCAGCCATTTTGTGACTACCCCCATGGTAGCTACCGTTTTGTGGAGGCAGTGGCATCCACTTCCCATTCTCAACATTCCTTAAGTGCCCACAGAGGTTGGACAAGACTAGGGATCTGCTGTCCTACATCCTTGAGAAAAGAACCAGAAAAGAAGAAATATAGATGGCCCTTGAGAAAAGCAGATGGTTTTCAACCATTTTAATTATTTCATTAGACTGTAAGAAGAGTAGCCATGCAAGGTCAGACCAGTGGTTCATCTGACCCAACATCCTACAGTAAGATGCCACAGGGAATCCCACACGCCAAGCCCACAAACAACATCCCTCGCTTTCTGACTGTTCCCCAATAAAAGGTATTCTGCCCCTGAGGATCCATGTAGCTCTCCGCAAATAACCAAGGATGATGATAAACGTGTCCAACATCATTTTAAACCCATCTAAGCCAGTGGCTGTCTGCCACATCTCCTGGTAGGTTACACAAGTCATCTATTTGTTGAGCGAATAGTCTGCCTTGAAACTACTGCCACCCAGTTTCATTGGGTGACACCAAGTTCTCATATTATGGGGGAAGGATGGAGTATTAACACTAATAACAAATAAGTGACAGTGTACTGAGATCAGGAGAGAAGCCAAGGCAAAAACAAAAGGCACCGCTTGCAGAAGGGGATTTTTAGGATAGCCTCTACAGGTAACAATGTGGATGTGGAATGGTCTGGTGTAGCCCGATTTTGTCAGATCTCAGAAGCTAAGGGTCAGGACTTGGAAGGGGAACCAGTGACAAAGACCCTTCAGAGGAAGGCAATGGCAAACCACCTCTGCTTCTCACTTGCCTTGAAAGTCCCTTGCTGGGGTTGCCATACATACATGTAACAAACTTGGTAAACCTGAGAAAAATTACCAATAAGGAGGAATTTCAGACAGCCTATGTATTCCGTTTCAGGAACTGTTCACTAACGGTTTGTTTTTCTCATTTCAGACAGAACTGTTTTAGTAACTGTTTCCTGATGGAATATATTTACCTGTTCACTCAAAAACGCATTCGGGAAGCGTGCCTGAAGCATTGTTCACTCAAAGTGTTTCCCACCAATCTTCAATCCCTTCTACTGCTTCTGAAGCACTATGGGGTGCTGTATAAAATGCCCCGTAGCGCTTCCTGCGATGACAGTTCTTTTCACGCCCTTTTTCTCCCCGTGCACGATCCTCCTCTCTTTTTTTATGTTCTATTGGGAGCGCTATGGCGCTATATCAGGACTACAAAGCAGTGCCATAGCAAACCCATTGAGATGCCTGGACTCCATTTAGATACACTGGTGTTCGCTACTGCATCTCAGCATGGATTTTAAAAGGAAATTTTGGGGCAGACGTATTTATCATGTCTGTTTAAAGATTAAATCACTGAAAACAGCAATAACCACAAACGTACCAGCACAGCATGAAAAAGGAGGAGGAGCTTTACTAGTTTGGGCTTTGATTAATTCAAAAGCACAGGAATAGCCTGCTACCTGGGTTTCAAAACTGTCCGGTCCCCCCCCTTGCAGCCACCGCTACGCTTGAACTCTGTATCCAGTGAGCTCATTTCCAGGGGACAGCAGTAGCGAATGTCAGTGTATCTAAATGGAGTCCAGGCATCTCTATGGGGTTGCTATGGTGCTGGTTTGTAGTCCTGCTTCAGCAACATAGCGTTCCCAATAGAATGTTTTAAATTTTTAAAAAAAAACCCTGTCAGGGAGATCGTGCACACGGGGGGTGGGGGATGGCGGGAAAAGAAAGCGGCACAGTTTGAAATGACACACCCCTTCAGAGACGGCTCCTTACTGGAAGGGAAGGGCTGTGTGAAACAGCTGTCCCTGTACCGGTTTATTCCATGATGGTACAATAATGGTTTTAAAAGGGTACTGTGAAATTCCTCTCAGAGTTACAGATGGAACGCTTCTAAATTTCATTCCACAGAGATTATCTTCATTCAGGTATAGGTCGTTCCATAAGAAGCCATTTCACAATTTCGCTATCTATCAGCCATACCATAAAACCCCTTGGACACATTTCTCCCCCTGGTACACTTGTCAAGGACTAGATGTACTCCCAGCAGACAGGCTCAGTGGTAGACAAGCTGCCTTGTATATTAAAGAAACCGGGTTCTGTCTTAGGCACATCCAGCGAAAAGGATCTCAGGCTGCAGGTCTTGAGAAAGACCTTTCTGTCTTTAAGAGCCTGGAAGGCTCTCGGTAAGCAACACTCCACTACATGGATTAGCACCCACAGTTCTCTCAGAGCTCTCTCAGCCCCACCTACCTCACAGGGTGTCTGTTGTGGGGAGAGGAAGGGAAGGAGACTGGGAAGGAAGGAAATTCTTTCAGAGCTGTCCTCTCAAGAGCAGTTCTCTCAGAGCTCTCTCAGCCCCACCTACCTCACAGGGTGTCTGTTGTGAGGAGAGGAAGGGAAAGAGATTGTAAGCTGCTCTGAGACGCTGAGTGAAGGGCAGGGTATAAATCCAACTCTTCTTCTTTCAAATGAACACATGAATCTGCCTTTTACTGAATCAGGCCAGTATAGGGTTGCCATTCCCCTGACAGGGGTGGGGTTTACCCACTTTCGGGGGGCCCAATTCACTGTCACCCAGCTGGCCAGCGGGGAAGCCCCACCCCCAGAGAGCCCCATCCACACCAATTTGCCCAGCACATTGACGTCACCTGAAGGTGACGTCATTGTGCAGGGCACGTTGTGGGGGGGATGCTCTAACATTTGAGAAAAAACTCTACGGTTGCCACAGAGTTTTGTCTCAAATGCTAGAGTAGCCCCCCTCAATGTGCTCTACGCAATGCACCAAAAACTCCCAGACCCCATCCACCACCAGCAGCCGGGTGACCTGGCAACTGTAGGCCAGAATTGTCTAAATTCAGACTGGCAGCAGCTCTCCGGGGTCACAGGCAGAAGCCTTCCACACCAACGAAGAGCTGATCCTTTTAACCGGAGATGCCAGGGATTGAACCTGGGACCTTCTGCATACAAAGAGGTACTCTACCACTGAACCACAACAAAGCTGTCTGAAGGCAGCTTTACATGCTCCCATGAGCCCACGGACTCCCTGCCAACTCATTCACTTAGTACCCCATATTGGGCACCCTCTATTCTCCGTCTGACCATTCTGTCAGACAGCAGCCATCACGAAGCAGTCCATGTCACATACAAGGTAGACCCAACCAGCTTTTCCACTGGTGAAATGCCCAAGAAGGTCCCCTGTGACCACCCAAAAAGGCTATGCTGAGAGATCACAAAGCCTGCATGGGTGGCCGCTGTAATCAATCAGATGAGATTGAGTGAAAAAAACTGGCTAGATTCAACCCACTGTTATGGGGCCAGACAGGGAGCAGGGGAACATAGAGTACTCATGTTCACCTGCTCCCAGTCCTTAACACTTTAAACGTCAGCAACCAAATTCAAGAAGAAGACCAGAGCAACATGACAGGAACACTGCAGTCTCGATACTTCTATGAGCCATGGCGTTGGCTAGGGTTACCTTACCACCTCTTTGACAGGCTAGGATGAAAGGATGGCGCAGTCGTTCATACATAATTCAAAACAAGCCCAGCCTCGTACCAACACCTCTTTTGGAGGGCTTGGGAGAGGCTGGAGACACTACAGCAAGAATGTCTTCCCTCTCAGGGAAAAGGAGAAGAGCAGGTAGGACCAGCTGGCAGTCCATATCTCTAGGGTAGTAGGATGGCTTAAGTAGACAGAAAACCCCAATGTTCTTGTTTAGAACGAAGCGGAGTTTGACGAACACCAGGAAAGTAGTTTCAGTGACTCAACTGCTCCCGCCACCCCCATTCCCTTATCTCATTTCTCCTGCGAGTCAAAGGGACCTTCCGATTCGTTCCAGTTCTTCTCTTGGTTCTTCTTCCTGTTCCTCTCTGCCATGACAATGGCAGCGATGACCGTCACCAAGACGGTGACAGTGATAACCAAGACAGTGGCTGTCTCTGCCACACACAACTGGCTGTCCACGGACATCAGCGGCGAGCCAGCTAGCTGCCAGGGACTGGAGCAGGTGATGTTCTCATAGTCATCCACGTGGAGGTGTCGCACACTCATGATCTTACCAAAGACCCGTTGGAGGTCACAGTCGCAGGACCACCTGTTGCCAGAGAGCTGGATGTGGGTACTGATGGTCTGGATGTTCAGGAAGGTCTTAAATTTAAGGTGAATGAGCTGGTTGCCGGTCAGTGCCAGAAGATTCATGTTGTGCAGTGAGGTGAAGGCCTCTACCTCAATGGAGCTGATGTTGTTGTTACTAAGCGACAGGACTTCCAGGTTCTGAAGCATGAAGAAGAAGCCATTGTGGACAATCACAAGCCTGTTAGACCGAAGGTAGAGGTGTCGGAGTCTGGACAGGCCCCGGAATGTTCCTCTCTCAATAGAAGCCACCCAGTTGTGGCTCAAGTCTAGCTTTTCCAAGTTCTCCAGGTATTGCAGGCTTTCGAAACCCAAGGCTACCAAGTAGTTGTGTGCCAGTTTGAGATCTTTCAGGGAAGTCAAGTCAACCGAGAAGTCACGTGGCAGGCGGACAAGGAGGTTGTGGCTGAGATCCATCTTCTCCAGGAAGCTGAGGGACCTGAAAGCTCTGGGCCGGATCTTGGCAATGGCATTGTGGGACAAGAGGAGAATCTTCATAGACCACAAGGCATCGAAGCCACTTCCTTCCAGCCTGCTCAGGTTGTTATTCCTCAGGTCCAGCATCCAAGTGTTGTGAGGGATGCCAAGTGGGATATGGGCCAGTTGTCGGCTGTGGCAGTCCACAAAACTGGAGGATTCATAGCAGAAGCACGGCTGGGGGCAAGCTTTGGAAGCACGAGCAACGAGCACCCTCAGAAGAAGGACAACAATGAAGAACAAGGGAGGCATTGCAAGTAGGCCAGTTGGAGAAGTGACTCCTCTGACCCACCACAAAGCCTATACGCAGACTGGCAGTGAACGGAGATCTGTGGATTCCAGCACGTCTTGTTCAGATCATTGTCGGCTCCCCGGGGTTGGGAGAAGAGAGTCGGATTTCTTCAGAGGAATCCAAAACAAAGAGTCCTTTGTTGAGGGGTTAGCTAAGCGCTTCCTTAGACTCAAGCCTTGGAGGACAACAGGCAACTTGAGTGAATAAGAGAGGGAGAAATGGATCGGCGGGGCCTGTAACTGGAGCGGCAGCACTTTCTCCAAGATGTGTCAATCATGCATTATCTTCCGTCTCCACTTTCAGCTTCAGGTGCTTGGATTTTTGATAGGCGCGAGAGAAGGCTGTGTTTTCTCAGCCAATCTTCTGGGGGGGAAAGCACTTAAAAGGGAAGAGAGAGACAGACCAGTGAGCGGTACATTTAGCGTGGAAGGAACCCGACTATCCCTTGGTTATAAATCAAGATGGGTAGCTGTGTTAGTCTGTCTGTAGCAGTAGAAAAGAGCAAGAGTCCAGTAGCACCTTAAAGACTTACAACATTTGTAGCAGGTTATAAAATGTCATGTGCTCACACACACACCTTCAGATCTTCAGGTATCTGAAGAAGTGACCAGTGACTCACAAAAACCTATATCATGCCACAAATTTTGTTAGTCTTTGAGGTGCTACTGGATTCTTGCTCTTTTCTCTCCTTAAGGCACAAAAAGGGGTGGGATCTTTTCAAAGCAGGGGCTGGGGGAGCAGTGGAAGGAGAAACAAGGTGACTTTTCCTGTCCCTTTCTTGCCTGCTGCTGCAGGTTCTGGACACAGAGGAGGATTATTAGGAGAGGCAGAAGCTGATCGGTCATGGACTCAAACCCTCCTGCCACCAGCTTGTTCTCACAGCTGGGATGTTATTAATCCCGGAGAGGAGGGTGGTGGAGCAGGGGCACAGAGGGACCTGAGCCAACAACAAGATGCTAATGAGGTAAACGCTGTGCAATTGGAGGGCATTTTACAAATCTGGTTATTCATACCGTTACACACTCCTCCGTTCCTAGAACATCAAGATGTTTAGAGGGCAGCTCTTCCCAGGTGGACTGAGGACTGGAAATGTCTGGCATCTGTGTAATATTTGATAGATTTAAGAATAGGTGGAGGCAGAGATCTGCAACAGATCTGTGACCCCACCGAATATCCCAAGGGGGGGGGGAGAGAGAGAGAGAGAGAGAGATCTGCACCTCCAAACTGCTTCCAAACTCCAGCCTACCTGAGGGACCGCCTTTCCCCACATGTTCCCCCAAGAGCACTACGGTCAGGGGCCCAAAACTTGTTGGACATCCCGCGCCCCAATCAGCTGTGACTAGGGCCAGGGCTTTTTCGGTGGCGGCTCCTACCTGGTGGAATGAGCTCCTGGGGGAGATCCGGGCCCTGCGGGACCTTATGCAGTTCCGCAGGGCCTGCAAGACGGAGCTCTTCCGCCAGGCTTTTGAGTAGGAGCCGCCGCCCCACTATACCATCACCGCCATTGCACAATCCTAGAGGACGTTTGCGAGGCCCTGAGGAAGAACTTGGGAATGGTCAGAAGATTCTGGAGAAGAACTGAGCTGAGCCATCTTGGACTTATGTTTAATAATTGATTGAGCACCACTGTTTTACTGTTTTAATGTTGGATGTTTTTATTATGTATCATATGTTTTAATTATGGCTCGGTTTTACCTTGCCTCTGTGAACCACCCTGAGCCCATCGGGGAGGGCGGGATATAAATATAATTAATAAATAAATAAATATTTTCAGCTAAACTCCCACCTCTGTCTCCCTTCTCTTTCTCTGCCCATTCCAAAGTCCAGAAAAAGAAACAAAATAATGTAATACCTTTTACTGAGGCCAACCCAAATGACACAAAACTAGGGTTGCCAGGTCTGGGTTGGAAAATACCTGGAGACTTTGGGAGTGGATCCAGAAGAGGGCGGGGTTTGGGGAGGGAAGGGGCCTCAGCAGGGTACAATGGCATAGAGTCCACCCTCCAAAGCAGCCATTTTCTCCAGGGGAGCTGATCTGTATCAGCTGGAGATCAGTTGTAAAAACAGGAGATCTCCAAGCTCCACCTGGAGTATGGCAACCCTACACAAAACGTTGTGCCAGATTTCAGGTTTTACAGAACCCTTCATCAGGCAGATATTGCAAATATTAACAGAAAATAAAGGAAGAAAAAAGCAAAAGTTCCAGGTCTGGTTCTGAAGATCCTTTCATGCTAATCTTTGATGATGCATGCTGTCAGGCGCACCCTTTGCTTACTAAAGGTGTAGCACTTGCATGGCAATCATCATTCCAAAGTCTAACCAGCTGTTCCCCCCTCCCCACACACCTCCCCACTCCATGGCTCAGCTGGGAGGAGAAACATTGTACTTCTCCAAGCTCCTATGGGAACCAGAATGTTTTCTGGAAACCAACTCCAGACTATTAGCTCCCATAGATGAAATATCCACAGCCATTGAGGAACATGAGTATCATATTGTCCTGTCAGGTAAGACGCTCCTGGCCAGACCAATTTTAGTATATGCGCTGCCAAAGTTGGCTTTGCTAGGCTTTTCACCCGAACCTCTACAAATGATGGCTTCAAACCAAGCAAGAACTGTGGTAAAGCAGCGATTATTTGAAGTAGAGAGACAGAATGACATTGCCAGAGCCCCTAGTTTTTTGGCTCCCTCTCTCCCTCTCTCCAGCTCCATACCTGATGCATTTGGTAATTCCATCCCATCGAAGGGCCTTCTCTATTGCTCGTTGTAATATTTTCCCTTCTGAGGTAGTAATAGGTCGCTACAAGAAGATACCTCTGGCTGAGCGTATTTGTCCTTGTGGTATTGGAGAGGCTGATACTATCAATCATATTTTGTTTGCGTGTGGGTTCTATCAAAATATACGAGCTATATATATTCAACCCATATGGGAAAGGCTTTTCGGCCGTCCGGACTCTGATATTAGTATTATGCTTATGATAGATGCGAATCCACAGGTGACATTAGCATGTGCCAAATTTTTGGCGGCAGCTTATAGAATGAGGAAAGATTCCTTAAATGTGTAACCTAAAGACCCCCAAGTTAATGCAGTGTATTATTTTGAATTATTTAAGCTAGAGTATGTATGCTTGTTTTTTTTCCACGGAAAAGACAGGATAAGAAAAAATGAAGGCTGAAGGACTCTGAATGGAGCCTTTGAAAATATTGTTTTTAATAATGAGATGCTCTTGGGGGTTTTACCAACAGTTAAATTTAAGATTTAAAAGATATACTAGCATGTCTGACTCAGTTCATAAAATTGTTAGCATTTTAAGGGGTGGCTTTATATTTAAGCTAATTTGATTATCTCCTCTCTTGGGTTTTTAGTTAGTAGTGGGTACCTTTTCTTTCTCCTTAATTGTATTTTTCGTTGTAGTTTGTGGTCCTTATATAAAATGCAATAAAAAATCCCCATCGGGGTTTGTTTGTGCTGGTTACGAACCATAATAAAGATTTCTGTTCTTGGCCAGACCATAGATCTATGCAGAGTATGGAACAGACAGCAGTCTTGCAGCAAGACTTTGCATTGGACCTGGTGATGCATGACAGGAAGAACAGACTCGGTGCCATTCTGCTTGTACAAGCGGTAGCATTAGATAGAGGAATTTATATCTAAAGTCAGGGCTTTTTTTGTAGAAAAAGCCCAGCAGGAACTCATTAGGGACCGCCTTTCCCCATATATACCCCAGAGAGCACTACGGTCGGGGTCTCAAAATCTGTTGACCCTCCCTGGCCCAAGGGAGGTTAAGTTAGCCATTACCAGAGCCGGAGCCTTCTCAGTGGCGGCCCCTACCTGGTGGAATGAGCTCCCGGAAGAGATCAGGGCCCTGCGGGATCTTTCGCAGTTCCGCAGGGCCTGCAAGACGGAGCTCTTCCGCCAGGCATTTTAGTAGGGGCCGCCGCTATTGGAGGATGCCGTTAGAGGCCCGCTGTCAGAGGCCTATTGTTACAACGATATACGGCCGGCAGATGCAACAACTGTATGGACTAATTTGTTGACATCAGCGCAACGGCAATTGTTTTTCTGCAACTTACTATCATGAGGAACTTAACGTGCCACCTGCACTTTGCACGTTGTATTTATGTATTAATGTGTTATGGTATGTACATACCTTGTATTTTAATGTAATTTATGTTCTATGTTTTAGTGGAAGCCGCCCTGAGCCCGCTTGCGGGGAGGGCGGGGTATAAATTGAAATAAATAAATAAATAAATAAATAAATAAATAATAGGCCATACCCAACAGCAGGAACTCATTCGCATATTAGGCCACACCATGACAGCACAGCTCATTAGCATATTAGGCCACACCACCGTGTTGCCAGAAGTGTGGTCATCCAACCACACCCACCTTTAGCTTCTTATTCTGTTTACCTTGTTTGTTGTCAAAACCCAGGACCATTTTTTGTTGCAGGAACTCCTTTGCATATTAGGCCACACACCCCTAATGTAGCCAATCCTAATGAGTTCCTGCTGTTGGGTGTGCCCTATTATGATAATGAGTTCCTGCTGCGTTCCTGCCCAAAAATAGCCCTGTCTAAAGTTATATATCTGAAGTTATAGGAAGAACCTGCTGATCATTATGTTTGAATCCAGCAGCACCTTTAGAGACCAACATGATTTTCAAGGCATAACCTTTCAAGAGTCGACGCTCCCTTTGTCAGACACGAGTAGGAATGGAGATGTCTGGGTCTTTCCAGGGCTCTAGTCGGGGGGGAGCTCTCAGGTACGGAGCTCCGGAAGAGAACCTCTAGGGGGCGGGGCGGTCACGTGGTGAAGCCCCGCCCCCTTCTTTACCCCGCCCTCTGCTTCGATCCTCATTCCGTTTGGGAATGAGGATGAAGCAGGAGGGTAAGTAGCCGGGCCTTCTGACACACTTCCGGTGATGTCAGGGGGTGTGGCCTTCTGTCACTTCCGGTGATGT